ATTATATTCTTGTTTCCTGGAAGCTTAGATCTTTCATTGGTATCATTAATTCTTCAGTTAAAAACTTTAGCAACAAATAAAACAAAACGTATTGTCTTTCAAGTGTTTTATTAAAATGCTTTGTTTTCGAAGGAGCGGCAGACTTCGTATCGGTGAACATACATATAAAACTGTTTACTTTATTATAATGAGCAGAGGACATTTTAAGAAACTCGTTGACAAGTAATGACTTTTTCAGAACCATCCCCAGAGATACGAAAAACTAGTTTCATTATTCTGACACTGCAATCAACCAACGAAAAATTCGTTGGCTCCAGCGGGATTTGAACTCGCATCTTCGGGTATCTAGAGCGGCGGTCTAGGGTAGAGCGGCGGTCTAGATACCCGAAGATGCGAGTTCAAATCCCCGCTCGATCCAACGAATTTTTCGTTGGTTGATTGCAGAGTCAGAATAATATGAAACTAGTAATGACTTCATCTGGTGGAAAATAAATGGTGATAAGAAGCCGCGAGTGTTGGAATTTTTATCGAGACAAACATTTGCCATGGTTAGGTCACAGAATAAAGACATACAGAAGTGTAACTTCCATTACAAAACCGTAAGGCGCTTTTTTACCGAAATAGCTAGTGCCCTAAAGAGAGGCATTCACCCCCCTGGAATATTAAATTTTCAATATGTTTTCAGGGGGGTTACTGCCTCTCTTTAGGGCACTTGCTAACAACATGGCGGACTGAAAAAGTCCCTTACGCGAAATTAACCTGAAGTGAGATCTCTGTATGTACTTCCTCTGTGGTTAGGTTTAGAAAAGGCACAAAATTTACACTCAAAATTTCCGTCCCAAAAACGTTTCGACATGCAGTTCTATCACGTGAGATGCCCAAAATTCTGACATTTTCCTAATAATTACTGTAATCAGGGCTCAAATTTACGGGAGATACGTCTCCGGTCAAAATGACCGGTCAACTTGATTTTAACTTTACACTAACAGTGAAACAAACTATTGGAAACTTGTTTCGATACATCACAGTTAAATGTTTTAATTCAAGACCTCAGCAATCACATTGCAAGGCATGAAAATGTGGCCGGTCAAAATGACCGGTGATGTAAAAAAGTGACCGGTCAAGAGGCATTTTTGGTCATTCTCCGTTGACCGGCCGTTATTTTGAGCCCTGTTAATACCGTGGATCCATTTATAATAAGAAAACCCCCAACAAATATAAAAATGGTGGACTTTCGCTATGTTTATTATTATAAAGTTAAATCGACCGTTCACAATATTACGTAATGTTAACTGTTTTCAACTAAACACCAGTTCCCATTGTTAGCTGGCTTAAATCTTCTCGGCATTCCTTGGGGAAAGAATTTCTGCATAATATTTTGATTTTCTGCTAGGAACTCGAATCTTTTTTTTAGTTTCTCAACAAAGTTTGCAGGTTCACAATGCGGCGACGTTGAAAACGACTGCGAAGGGAGAGAGAAATTGTTAGTTGGGGCAACTGGCAAATGTACACGAGGCATTATATTTTCCGCGGGTCAGTTTTGCATTTCACTGATTTCACTTGATGGTGGTAAAAAACGAGCACGTTGTAACAAACCTGCAGCAGACTTGTAGCAATGCTGTTCCAACAACATGTCATGCATAAGAATGTATTCGCACCGCTTGTTCCCAGCTTGTTGACAAATTGTCAACGGATTGTTGACAACTTGCTACAAGGTTGTTGAGCTCAGCAGACTTGTTACAAGTTGTGTTACAAGTTGTTCCAACAACTTGTTATCGTCCTGCAATTCATTATTCAACAACTTGTTTACACGTTGTGAGTGAAAACCCTTGTAACAGCCTGACTAAGGCCTGTTTTATACGTCGAATTTCGGTCGCGTCGAATGCAGGTAGGTTTATCATCTCATCTATTGTTTGAATTGCATTCGACGCGACCAAAATTCGACGAGTGTCCCTATATGTCGTGTGTCGTGGGTTAAAAGTCGTGTGTCGTGGGTAAAGTCGTGGGTCATAAAATGTGCTAAAAACGCATTTTTCATATTTTTATTTTTAATATTTTTTTCGTACTTTTTCCTTTTATGCGCTAGATAAATACAGGAAAATTTAACGCAACAAATCTCCAGTAATAAAATTATTTCTTATCTTGCTGTTATCTATAGTATAACAAGTAAATGTTTCCGTTTCGTATAGTCTCATAAGTCTATAAATGTATTGTTTGATGATAAAATGTCCTAAGTTATAGGTTTATTAGCTTTGGGAGTGTTATAGTCCCTATCATGAACGTCGCGTATAACTATGTCGATTGCATACTGTCTGATGCAAACATATTGAGCTATAAATTCTACGCTGTATAAGTGGCCAATGCTCGAGCCTCAAATTTTGCTATTTTATCTCCTAGACCTAGTATATGTTCGTGGCCCTTAAAAGTAGACAAACATTTCATGTTTGAATGCTGTTCTTAGGGTATGTGGCGTTCGGAAATATTCCATAAATTGCTGCGATTTGGGATTTCGCGATTGAAAACCGAAATGATATTGATTTGTGCGATGTCGCCATGTCGGGCTATTTGCCAACCGAGCGCGCTAGCCGCTGTTATTTTGACAGAATATGATACCTCTACACTTTTCAGCCGTAATACATAATGCGCGGATTGTAATCATATTCATATCGTTTCATTTAGCTTCAAAAACTTATTTTGTTAAATGTAAAATGCGCAGCATGTTGCGTACATTGTCAAAGAAAAAAGGTTGACTTTATTAGACTGAAATAAGCAAGATTTCCCGTTACATACATGATTTATACCGAGGAGGCGGCTTTGCATGTGCTCTGCCTCTGGCAACTATGACACCATTGCGCTCCGCGGGAACGAACACGAATAACATGTTTTTTATCAAGTTTTTGAAGCTAAATTAAACGATATGTATATGATTACAATGTGCGCTGAAAATTACGGCTGAAAAGTGTAGAGGTATCATATTCTG